CTGGAAATTTCTCCTCTTTGAATCTTGAACAATTAACCAACTCACCAAGTCCAAGCGCAAGACCCAAACTCAAATATTTGGATTAAACCCAAAAAATGCAATCCAATGGTGACGCCTAAACCCTAAAATTTGGTTTTGAGCCCAAAATAAAATCCGAAATTCTATTAGGAATGTTGGGGGCCCCAGCTTATACAAAAGCGGATAGAGGAATGGAACTGCATCTTCTCCTAAGTTCAAGATTGGGATCCTCCTGAACAGCTCATCTGGACCGTTGAAATTTGATCAAACGGCTCCAAACAGGGAGTTCTCCTAAAAATTATAATAATTGCATCCATTGGATCAAGTTTGAATGGCCCAGATGGGCTGCTCAGGAGGATCCCCATCCTGAGCTCAGGAGAGGATCCAGTTCCCAGAGGAATTTGGTAGTAGTCGACAACTGGGCCCCATTTGATACGGGACTCCAGTTGTCCAAAGGTAACATGTGGACTAAAGGGAATTGTCACACCTCGGCGCTAGGCGATCAGTCATCGTCCCGATTAATGCTTAAATGTTTGAAAATTAAGAAATGACTCATATACCTACTGAGGCACCCGCCTAGCCCACCCAGACCCGCCTAGGCACTCGGTTAGGTTGTGACTCACTTAGACAGAAAATAAATAATTTTCATTTTATTTTTTATTTTTTTCAATAAATTGTAAGAGACTTGCTAAATAGTTAAATGAACACACATTATATGCTTGTTCCCCATGTTTTCATTATGTTCCAATACTTCATAATATATGTGTCATTCTATTTGTAGTTTATGATGAAATTATATATATATTTTAAGTATAAACAGACACTTATTTACACGAAATATAATAGATTTATGCAAATCCGCCTAGTCTGCCTAGGCACCACCTAAACCCCGCCTAGCCGCCTAGGTGTTAGGCCCCAGCCCACCACTCAACTAGCATCTAACATCTTTTAGAACCTCAAAGGTAACATTTGGACTAGGGAGCCATTCAATTTTTGGACCATTCGTGATCAACAATCTAAATTACAATGCCTCTTTTGGTAATCATTTGGTTTTGATCTAACGGTCCGTATTTGTGTTTTTTCAAATCCAACGGTAAGGGGAAAAAAATTTCAACAGTTGAAATTTAAATCTAATGGTCAAGGGTTAAAATCATTTCACAATAGTTAATACAGTTTAGGTCCTAAAATTTAAGTCTTATGGGTTGGGTGACATTCCATTCACGAACCTTAAATTCTGTGACCTAAATATTTAGGTTTGGATCTAAGGCTACCCAGCCAACAAAAAGAAAATAGCACAAAAGGTCTTAGGGTTTCCCGTGCCGGGGTGCTTTACCAGTTGCAGCCCTTGAGCAGGAGTGCAACTTATGACACGAGTATCTGTGTCAATGGCACGGGTATCTGTGTCAATGACACAAGCATTATATGACAAAAACATGGTGTTCTGATGTTGGAACACTCATTGTCCCACATCGGCCAAAAAGGAAGAAAGAAAACACTTTAAATAGAATTACCCCACTCTAACTAACATTAAGGCCTTTTGTGATAAAACCCCACACCTGAGGATTGTGCAGGTGGTTAAGTGGGGATAGTATCAGTGTTGTTGGAGTGGGCCCTCTGCCCGTCGACCTGAAAAATTCTACATGGTATCAAAGCCAGGGTATAGGCCTGTATTGACACATGATTGGGTGGGTCCCCCTTTGGGCCCACGCAATGGGTGAGTCCCGACATGGCTCCACGTAGGCCAAAGATGCCACATGATTGGGTGGGTCCCCGTTTGGCCTTGCGTTATGGGTGAGCCCCGACTTGGCTCCACATGGTTGTCGATGTGTGGATCTCCACATGTGACCCACAAAATGGGATCTCATGTGCGGGGGAGTGTTGGAACACCCATTGTCCCACATCGGTCAAGAGGAAAGAGAGAAAACACTTTAAATAGAATTACCCCACTTTAACTAACATCGAGGCCTTTTGTGATAAAACCCCACACCTGAGGATTGTGCAGGTGGTTAAGTGAGAACAGTATCGGTGTTGTTGGAGTGAGCCATCGGCCCGTCTACTTGAAAATTAACCCCACACCTGAGGATTGTGCAGGTGGTTAAGTGAGAACAGTATCGGTGTTGTTGGAGTGAGCCCTCGGTCCGTCTACCTTAAAATTTCTACATCTGACGTATCAGTCCCACATTGCGGCGCCTGAAATATATTTGTAGTTCCACATCTTATGCTAATTATTTATCAATCCATCTAGCTTGAAATGATCCTTATTGCAGTTTTCTTACTAATTGCTTGTAATATCTACGCTGCTTGATTGCAGAGATCTCCTGTAGTGGGTATATTGACGAGGTACGACTTCATGCCAGAACATATATTGAGCTTACACCCTATGCTGGTAAGGAGCAGGTGGAAAAGATTAAGATTCCGGTCGCCACCTCCGTCTAAACTCTTTTCGGGCCTTATCAGCTAGCGTTGTAGTTCCCACCGAAGAATAAGGTGTTGTAAATAATCTTCACCCGAGGGTATGAAATCACGACAAGTCCGGCATCTCATTATTTTTCGACTTCTTCATGGCCTCCAGAGTAAAGGGCAGTAGCTTACATTGTCGGAGTATAGATAGAGTTTAGTAAGATACCATGATAAACCAGGAAAGGTGGTATTTTTTTTTCTCTCTGATGAAAGTATTTTTTCTCTGTAAAATGCTATATATACTTCAGTTTTTTAGTCCTTCAATTAAGGTGGTCTCATAGCTCTTCAATGTTTAACTACATGTTAATCTTCCAAACTAAATGTTGATCCCGCACTCGATAGTAAAAAAAAAATTACAGCTACACAACCCCTGCCGGTACTTAAAATCATGTGAAAGTAGTCACCATTTAAATGCAAATGTGTTGGGTTTTTTGGCTGCACGTGACGCATAGTAGTTTTTCAGTGTAACGGACAAAGATATTGAGAAAAGTACACATTCAAAATATGTTCGAGGGTGAAAAGGATGTCGACAAAATGGCCAAAATGAAAAGCAAACTAGTGTCTGCGAGTCTCTATCCAATTCAGTTTTACATGGTAAGTTGAATGAGGTATATACTACCCTCTCTTGACACTTCTAAGGTAGTCTTCCATTATATTCTGTAACTGCACTCTCACTGAGTTCATGTTCTGCCGATCAGCTCCGATGGGGGCGGCGCATTGGAAGGCCAAATCAAAAAAATTCACAAGTAGCTCTGCCTCTACAACTTCCTTGATTGAAGGATCAATCAATTCCATCACCTTTGCTTCATTAAACTTCTTGAATGCCTGTGGAATGTCAAAACCGGACACCAATACTGTTCATCATACGCATTTTAATACCAAAGCAATATAATTATTGATTTATCTCGTTGAAGTTGTAGTATCACGTCTCAATATATCTTAGTGGTGCAGCGTAACCATCTGAGTGTCACCCGCTCTTAAACAGATCTATTCGACTCCATTGGACGACGGCCAGTCAAAATTTCTATTAGTAAGATCCCGAACGAGTAAACATCACTTTTGGTGGTGACTGGTGAGTTGATGCGTTTCCATGTTAAACAAATAGCAATCATTTAATAGCCATGAGATAATCATCTTAGGGTGGTCCTTTTGTCGACAGGATGCTTCTATTACACTCGTAGTCTCTAAAGGATGAGAACCAACTATGTAGCATCTACATTGAGACATGAGAATAAAAACTTCACTAAAAACCCACTCGAACCATAACATATAATGCTATGCAGAAATCCTACTATGTAAGCCTACTTCAATGTTGAAATATTGAACCATGTCACAAGCAATACAACTTTAGTGACAGGAACTAGGAGTTTAACTTAGGAAAGGCCCAAAAGTCTCAATTCCAAACATTCTTCTTATTTTACAAAACTTACTCTGACCCTGTGGTGAGCATCTGACCACTGTTGTTTGGGTATGGTATTGTGTCGTCCATGTCATCCTCTTTCTTAAACCTAAACTCCAAGCCTCCTTGACTTTCTTCCTCTCTCCCTCTACACTAGAGTCCTCAAAAACTCACAATCAAAGGATTATCTGAACTTCATAGGAGCTACCAACCTCAAATCAACTTCAATGAAAGAAGTTAAAGTAAAAAAAAGGTCTGATTGGGGCTCTTAACCTACAGCAAAGCTGTGGAAATCATAAGCATAACACAAAAGTTTTTTGCAAGACAAAAATGTTAGTCCCTTCATGGCTCCGCCTCTGTCCATTATTGGGTTGGGTCTGACACCAAATCTAGTCTCATCTAATTATTAGATGGTGCATTCATCATATTTAATTCAAAGACGGTTCATGTTTTCATTTAAGTTCGTGATTAGTATTACATTAAGTTTACATACCTAAATTTTGAGGGTTGATCATTCACCGTTCACATACCTAAATTTTGTCTTTTAATTCAGTATTGTACAAAGGTTTTATCCCTGCCGAATCGCAAATGAGTCAACGATGTTTCTGGTTGAAGTACCCAGCCAACAGAAGGAAAATAGCACAAAAAGGTCATGGGGTTTCCGGTCAGAAGAGCTTTAGTGGCTGCAGCCCTCGAGCAGGACAGCAACTTATGGCACAGGCATCCGTGTTAATGATACAACTATCATATGAATAAAAGTTTACAGATATCTTTATATTATCAACAGCGAAACTAGTGTTATTACTGTGCCCTTGCCATGGAAGTCATTCTACTTGAGTAGAGTCGGTGTCCTGTCCGTGGGTTGGGTCCCTAGCGCTGAAGATTCGTGTCCATGTTTTGGTTGGCAGAGTTCCTAGGTCGAGTCCTAAGTATCGAGGCCCTAGGGATGTCTTGGGCTTCAAGTTCCCCAAACCAGGTCCTGAGTACTAAGTTGGAAGAGAAGTCCCACATTTGGAGACGAAACATTGGACTTTTGCGATAAAATTTTACACTTCAAACCCATTGAGCACGATACCACCCGAGGGTATTGGGCACAGGTCATTAAGTTGGGAACAACAACAAATGCTCAAACAACCAAAAATTACAGCTAAACATTTAAATTCAAATGCGTTTGCTTTCAATGTTGCAAAATGATTTCGCGTAAACAAAAAAAGGCCAAACTGAAAAGCAAACTCGTGTCTAGTGACCAAATTGTTTTTACAGGGTAAGGTCGAATAAGGGGGAAGATGTCTCTCACATTATTTATACTACTGCCCTCTCTTGACACTTCTAAGGTAGTCTGCCCTTATTGTCCACAACTGCTCTCCCACCGCTTTCATGTCCGGCCTATCAACTCGGATGGGGGCTGCACATTGGATCGCCAGATCGAAGGTTTTCATCAGAACCTCTGCATCTATAGTTTCCTCCATCAAAGGATCAACCAATTCTGCCACCCTGCCTTCATTCAACTTCTTGAAGGCCTGCAAAATGTTGAAACCGGATATAATCGTTACAGTTCGAATTTAATCTGGTTCAAATACATTATTGAGCAAATGACAAGACTAAGAGCTCATTCGCAATCATTTTATAACAATAATGCTAATCACATCTCATTTTAATACCACGTAACATAGTTGGTGATTTTATCTCGTTGAATATTGACTATACTTACCCATCTGAGTGTTACCCGCTCTTCAACAGGTCGCTTCAACTCCACTGGACGACGGCCAGTCAAAATTTCTATTAGTAAGATCCCGAACGAGTAAACATCACTTTTCGGGGTGAGTTGATAGGTTTTCATATACTCAGGGTCAAGATAACCGACAGTTCCTTTCACTTTGGTTGAAATGTGTGTTTGATCTGTGTCCACCGGGCCAAGCCTTGCAAATCCAAAATCGGCCACTTTGGCTCTCATGCTTTCTGTGAGAAGAATGTTGGAGGACTTCACGTCTCGATGGATGATTTGTTTTTCTGTTGTGTGATGAATAACGGATTAGACATCAACCAGGTTGACAATGAAATCAATTTTCATCCGCATCCAGAAAGATGAAACTTAAATAGAAAACTGTGATGCATGTATTAAATGAAGAGTTTTGTTACCAGAATATGTGTGAAGATAGGTAAGGGCATGAGCAACATCGATAGCAATTTCAAGTCGCTGGTTGAACTCTAGGATTTTCCCATGCAGACCTGCCAGTGTAGCAGCATAATTATTTACGATCTCATCACTTTATAAATCAGAACTAGCTATTGTTATGAAAGGATTTGAGTAAGCTTACAATCTAGATGTTCTCTAAGAGTACCGTTCTGCACATACTCCGTAATGATAAGACGCTCATTTCCTTCATCAACATAACCTAGTAGCTTTACAAGATTCCGATGATCAATTTTGGCAAGCAGTTCAACTTCACTGCTGAATTCAGTTTGCAAATTCTCAAAGTGTTCCTATTGCAAAGTTTCCATGTCACAAAAAATAGCAATCATTTGATTGAATCACGAACATGAGATAAAAACATCCTTAAGAATCCACTCGAATGTTCGATAGAAATATTTCAACATTATGAACTGTTCATACCTTCTTTGCACGTTTGATAGAAACCACTTGGCCATCATCTAACCGAGCCTTGTATACAGTTCCAAAACCTCCTTCACCTACTTGTTGCGATTCAGAGAAGTTGTGAGTTACTTTTACAATCTGATTCAAACTGAGATGTACTGATCCAAGTCCAATGGGCTTTGGAGACATTGAAAATCTAGGACTAGGCGGCACACGATGTGGACTACGTGGCACACGATGCGGACTGGCCAGGATCTTTTCAGGATCTGAAGAACTCACTTCAAAAGAAAAAACTGAATCTGCTGAAAAAGGATAATTAACAAAATATGAAAGAAAGAAAAGTCAGTGTGTGGAAACTAATAGAAGGTAGGTAAACTAATAGGAATGCAATTTGTTTGCCGAATAGTCGACAGAAGGGTTGATGCAAGACACTCACTTGAATTTGGCTCCCTTGCAAGAACTCTGTGCACACTTTCTCTCCTTTTCTTAAAAATGCAAGGACATAGAAAAACACAACACGTGAGAAACATTCCACTTGCTGCTATTCCAATCTTTTTAGTCGCAGACATATATGCAAAATCATTTTTTTCCTCTCTGTTGTCAAAAGTGGATTTATCCCTTGACTCCTTCTGCAGCAGTTTCCTCCCTGTCCTCAAGGTAAAATCAACTGCAAAAGCAGCAATACTTAATTAAATTAAACTCCAAAAAGCTTGACCAAATAGCATCGTTTAAACAAGAAACCGAGCAAGATATCACATTAATGCATACCTAGTGAAAGGTCTGATAGACAATGGTAACTTCCAAGGTTGCCTTCTAAAATGCAACCATTTGCATAGTATGTCCGAAGAGCTGCGCAGAATATAGTTTTCTCTACTGAATTCCCGTTTATGTAAAACAATTCATGACCATGAGAGCTTGAATAGGCAATGTGATCACTACAATCCTTTGACTGTATGACAAACTTGGATGCAAAGATTGCTTGCAATTGCAGCAACAGACTTAGCACTGCGATGCCCATTCTAAACGGGATAATCTGCCCAACTCCCATTTAGGAGTTACAAGATGATGAAACCTCTCTGTTTGTTCTGTTCTTCAAAAATCCACCAAGAAAAGCCGAAAGATGATAATATGCACAAAATCACAGACCTTTTGGATCCTCAACACACCTTGAGTAGTTCAAACAACCAATACAGAAATTCCATAGCCGACTAATTTTAGCGTTTGGACAGGAATTTCGAATTCAACAAAGTTTACAAAACCCAGTTACAGAGAGATCCCCAAAAACAAGACTGATCAAAGTTACTGACAGTTTTCGTTTCCGCCAGTATTGTTACTGGTAGTTTAGGACTTTAAACTGCTCCAAATAAGCCAGTTTACAGTGACTGAAATGAGCAATTTGAGCCTCTGTTCGTTACAGACTGGTTGAAATCCTCAACAGACAAAATGGATGAAATTTGAGTTACATATCTTCACATAGTTCCCCATTAGAGAATTCGATTTCTTGATGTGTCCACGAATTCACCCAAAGCCTTTAATACTCAACTCGCAACTGGAAATTGGATAAGTATGGAAAACTTAAGGAGCCCAGAAACTAATCCCAACACCTCAAACCACCAAAAGTCCCAAACTTTCACTGAATCACTTGAAACCCAATTAAGAAACCACAAACTCATATGAAAATCCACCCAACTCAAAAACCTAACACTGAGAATCTCTACAGAAATCCCAGCTGGTATACTATCCCAAGACCTCAAACAAACAAAAGTTCCAAACATTCACTGAATTACTTGAAACCCAATTCACAAAAACCACAAACCCATTTGAAAATCCACTCAACTCAAAACCCTAACATTTAGAAGCTCTACAGAAATCTCAGCTGGTATACTATCCCAAAAACCAATCCCAAGACCTCAAACCACCAAAAGTTCCAAACTTTCACTGAATTGCTTGAAACCCAAATCATAAAATCCACAACCTTGTACAAGAATCATCAACTCCAAAACCCAACATCTAAAAATTCTCTACACAAACCAGTACTATGAACCTATAAGTGGCTTAGCTGATTAGAAAAAAAAGCAGAAAAAAGCACCTGAATTTACTCTGAGAGGCGGCTGAAGAGGCTGGAAATGTCAAAAGCCAAAACTACTGCTTTTTACAATTGATTGAAACTTGCAGGGAGAAAAAAGAAAAGAAGAAAAGACAAGGACCGGCCTTTGACGTTGCTGTTGGTGTTGGTGGTAGAAGGAGGGGAGAGGGAGAAGGTGGTGGATTCTGACTGTGATGTAATCCGCCAGAGCCGTCCGTCTGGATGCAGTAAATTAAGTGATGCTTGTAAACTATTCTAATAAATGTAACCTCAATATGCGGACAATGTTGATGGTTGACCGTTGGGAAATTGCATTTGCATTGTAAGTATCATCCTGCCCGGTGAAGGGCTTTTTGATCATTTCGTGTCACTATATTATAATTTTCTTTTGGAGAAAAATATATTTCATATGCATCAAAATAAAATTACCAAATTAAAATTACCAAATAATCATATTTTCAAGGTCTTATTTTGATTGAGTGCCTTGTAGTTCAGTTGATTTTATCTCGTGGTTCTGAGTTTGAAAGTTTTTTTCCATTATCAATAGTATTGGAAAACAGTCCACACTTCATTCATAAAATAATTAAGGTCCAATTTATTCACACTCTTAGTTTAGCATCTGACCTCGTCCCAATGCGATTGGTGAGCGTAGAAATGTAAATATTTAATTTATTTTGGAGTGTCAAAAACTATACGGGTCAATGTTTACTCTTTCATCAAAACCAATGATTTAAAAACAAATTGGTCATGTCACTAACACTACGGTTTAAAAATAAGAAATTCAACTCACATAAGTAGTGGATCTTATTATAATCTATAACTGACTTGTTGTAAAGTATATATATTATCCTTGAACATAAATTAATAAATACATAAAATTAGCCTGGCAAGTGCCAAACTTTTTCTTGTTTCTTGTATGATTTCAATTTCCTTCCCATTTGATGGATATAAAGAAGAAAATCCTAACACTAAAGCAAAGAAAATACACTTTGGGTTCTTGAAAATATTTTTAAAATAATTGAAGTGCTTTTAGCAAATTATTTTTGAATTTTATCAAGTGCTTCTTGTAGAATTTTTAAGTGATTTCAAAATTCATTTGAATTTTTATTAATAATTAGTTTCCATATCATTTTTACGACAAATGCTTTCAACGCTTGTTAAAAACACTTTTAAACTAACTCTTAGCTTTTTATTTATGTAACAGGTGTAGATTATCGTCCAAAAAAAAAGTATCAAGTGTGAATCTATTTTCGCGTGGTGTTGAATTTCCTCTAATACAAGTTACAACCAAAATAATCATATTATTATTATTATTATAATACAATAATTGTACGATCAGTGTTGGGGCAGCACCCACCAGACCCATAACAACTTGCAAAACAAATCCGAATCACGACACCACCAATCCTGGTCTTACTCACGGCCCTACGCAACATTCACATGATGATAATTACGTTTCAGACGTGAACTCTTATACTTGTCACTGTTTATTGGTACTCAATTTCACCGTGTGAGTTGAACTTAAGACTTTTTCAAGACACATTACAACTAAAGAAGAACTACTAGAACTTATTGCTAGTAGCCCATGTGTGGATAAGTAATTGAGAAAACTTTGGATAGATAGTTATACTCTCACAATAGACATGACAAACAGATTGTGTTTGTCGTGTTCGTATCGTTTTCGTATCATACTCGTTATCTTAAAGGGTTATGTCGTGTCAAATCTATTACTTTAACTGTTTCTTAACAGGTGACCCGACAACGACTTGATTCGTTAACGCATCATATCATTTCATGTTGAGTTAACAGATCATCCAAGAAATCGTCATACCTAATGTCTAGATCTGAAAAATAGATTGTGTTCTTGCCACACTCGTTATCTTATTGAGTTTTAATCGAGTGATCCAATAACAACCCAACACGTTAATTGATTGACTCATTCTATCCTGTGTAACGAGTCCCTACTGTATTTTGAATTCATTTTATCCTATGTAAATACGACTTCTAATGCATACAGCTTCACCATGGGAGATCCCTAGTGAATTTTTTCTCAAGCTTATCTTTTCATTATTTTTTTCAAGTTATAATGATAGGGACAGCATTCTAATATCACTAGGCTAAACCTGAATTTCTAGGGTTCCACATGAAATTGTCTCCTAATGGAAATTGACAGCAGCCAAGAAAGAAAACACAAGTTGTCGAATCCGAAAGTTAAATGTGAGCTGACAAAGGAAGGGTACACTGAAACTTGACCCGGACCCACTTCGTGTATCATTATGGTCGTGCTTCTCCTGTTCCAGAACAAAGAGGCACTAGGGCCTAAACCCTAAAACTACACAACTGAAATCTAACCCTAAACCTCAAACGTCCGACTTACCGCCGGAGTTGCTCGTTGAAATCCTTGAACAGGCTCCGGCATAAGGATATACTACTGTGTCTGTGTTTGCAAAGTTTGGAATGCTACCATGGATGACAGTTCATCAAAACCCATCTCCAACGCTCCATTCAAACCACCCCTTTTCGCAGTATTTTAGTCAAGAGCTTTGATTCGTTGGCTATACACGATGGGTTCTTCTTATTGTTTTTACGACGACAATATTGGCAGCGGCTGGATAGAAGCCTCTGAAACAAGCATGGGCTTCTGCTTACATATGGGGTCACTCCAATGGTTTGATATTCATTCGAACATTTAGGGATTTCATTCATATTATCTCGTGTTTTCGAACGGTGCTCTAAGTGGGTTGATGCATAAAAATTAGATGAACACCGATTCATATTTCTAAGCCTTGAAATTTGCAGAGGAAAGTACCACGAGTTTTCCACACTAGTCAATGATGATGAAAATTGTAGGCTTGTTTTGGAGGTCTTGAGACTCTTATGTATTTGTGATAATCATTTCTTCTTCTTTTTTGTAATAAAAAGTTTAAGGAGACGGGGTTATCTTATTTCAGGGTCAGAGCATACCACAAACATTTTTAAGGACTTACACAAGTGATTTTAGCCCCTTACTACTTTTTTCACCAAATCATCCACCAAGAGAGATTATCAACAGTGAAAATTGAATCTAAGCCTTGGTTATGAAAAAATATGCAGGGACCAAAATTATAGACCTTGCTTTTTTTTTTTTCGTTTTTTTTTTTTTTCTATTGAGATGGAAGATTCATGTGTCCTAGGTATTTAGGTATTGAATTGTCAACCTTTGGTCCCTTCAAAGGATAATAAAATGGTTTTTTGAGGCAATATTATCAATACTACTCTAGCCACGTGCTTTTTCGGTTTGATTTAGAGAAAAAGAGTGTCAAACGAGTTGAAAATCCTGGTTTGCCCCGTATCTTTGAAGCTACAATTTGCGTGGGGAGTCTTTATATTCTTGAAGGTGATCTTGTGGTTAATGGGAGGTAGAACCATGTCACTTCTACCTCATAGGAATTCGACGTGAAAACAGAAAGCCGACTGTCGACTACCTAACGCCCTCCTCCTTCTTTATCCGGGTTTGAAATCGGCAACGTAAGATAAATTTACAGAGATGGAGTTAATTCCCCTTTGCCTTTAAGAAGAAAATTTCAAGTAGTGATGGATTTCTCGATCTAAAAGATAAACCAACAGAAGAGGATCAAATTAGGTAAAAAAAGTTGTTAATTGCCGCAACATCACATGGATCAGTTTCTAATGTGATCATATCCTTCATTTAGTCAAGGCTTATTGATCTCGTAGACAATAACTGAGTTATTACTTGGCCATAGTCCCATTGGCTGACAAAGTGTATAATTGTCTTGCCTAGCTCATCCCTGACTTGTATTGTTTTGTGTGAAGGATTATAATGCAGTGTACAATTCACCTGTTTTTATTTTAAACTACTTCATTGAAAATGTAATGAATAATTAGGTTTTGAACTCATGAAATCTCTCAGTTGTAAATATAGATGAATACCAGTAAAATGTCTTGCTAGTAGGCTAGTAGTTCATGCGTTTCATACTTATTTTGAAATGAAATGATATAATTTTAATAACATTGAAAGTTTTCAAAGAAAAATTGAGAAGAACAGTCTAACCAACTAGATAATCATGCTCTATTGTAAAAGAACAATTTCCATTATATTTGAGTATCATCCGATTCCATGTATACATAATTTTCTTAAAATTGGAGATAGAAACAACACTCTAAACAACACTAGGCTAAACTTGAATTGCTAGGGTTCCACATGTAATTGTCTTCTAAGGTCCAAGCCCAATATGTGAAAATGGAATTTGACAATGGACGAGAAATATGAATTTGTCGGATCTCTCCTGTACACAACAAAATAAGACCGTTAAATCTTGTTAAATCATCACTTTATATTATGATCTAGTGATATTCTTTTTTACTTATAAGTAAGAAGTCTTAGATTCAATTCTCGCCAAAGACGAATTTAAAATTATTAGTTCATTGTAAGGCTTAACCCACTCCTTCACCCCCTTAATGTACATAATATCGTTTGTTGAAGGAAAAAAATAATATTATGTTAAATCAAATAATCAAACGGCTCTTAGTTTTATTGTGCAACTTAAGTGTAGACTTTTGTTGTGCATTAGAGAATATCTCCCGAGTCTTTTGCCGTTTTGTATTACGTTTGGCCAATAAAAGGAATGAATCTAGAGATCTAAGCTTGTCATAATTCAGATAAATTTAGTATAAACTATCTTATCGTTTGTCTATAAAAAAAAAAATTAAGGAGGTTTGGAGTGATTTTGGGAAAGGTAAAACTCAATTAAGTGATTTTATAGAAAATAGACCTCATCTTACGAATTTGTGTCAATTATACCTTCCGTTAGTTTGGCCGTTTATTCTCAGTTAAATGCTGACGTGGCTTGATCTGGGACCATTTTTATTAAAAAATTAATAAAAAATTTATTAAAAACAAAAAAAATCATTTAATATATTTAAATATTAAAATAATAAAGAAAAATTATTTTTAAAAAAAAAAAAAAAAAAAACCAACGTCAATTCTCCCTTCCCCCCCCCTCTCTCCCTTCTCCCCATCTTCATCTTCTTCCCCTTTCTGCAACTACAACCCAGAAAAACAGAAGAGAAAAAAAAAAAAAAAAAACCAATTTGTTTTCCTTGCTCCTCACCCCCTCTTCTCCCCACACCCACGCACCCAACCTCCCCACCTTCGCACCCCAACCTCGCACCCACTATCTACAACCCCTAAAAAAAAAAAAAAAAAAAACCCAGAAAAAAAAAACCCATTCTCCTGGGCGAGGAGAAAATGGGCCGGGGGTCCGCGGGGGGGGGGGGGGGCGGCGAGGGGGGGAGAGGGGGGGTGGGGGAATGGGTGTGGAGAGGAGAGGGTGGGTGTGAGGGGGCGAACTGGGTTTTTTTTTTTTCTTCTCTCTTCTTCTTCTTCCCTCTTCTTCCCTCTTCTTCTTCTTCTTCTTCTTCTTCTTCTTGCAGGGGGACGAACTGGGTTTTTTTTTTTTTTTTTTTTTTTTCTTCTCTCTTCTTCTGCTTCCCTCTTCTTCTTCTTCTTCTTCTTCTGCGGGTTAGGTTGGGGGGGGGTGGGGTTGGGTGGGAGTGGACGGGTTTGCTGCTGTTTTTTTTTTTTTTTTTTTTTTTCTCTTCTTCTTCTTCTTCTTTCTCCTTCTTCTTTTCTGGGTTGCTGGGTTGCAGGAAGATGATGGGAAGAGAGAGGGGGAGATGCACGAAAGGAGAGGGAAGATAATGGCTGTTTGTTTTTTATTTTTTTATGTACTTTTTTATTATTATTTTAATATTTAAATAATATTAAATGATTTTTTTGTTTTTACTAATTTTTTTATTAATTTTTTTAATAAAAATGGGTCTCAGATCCAGCCACGTCAGCATTTAACTGAGAAATAAACGGCCAAGCTAACGGAAGGTATAACATTGACACAATTCGTAAGATGAGGTTGACATTGTCAATTTAAAAGATGAGGTATGAAAGTGTCATTTGACCATACTTGAGGTAGTTTTTTGTAATTAACTCAAAATAGATTATATGTGTTTCTTCGTAAAAATGATTTTAGCACACTCAAATATTGAGTTTTGATTCTAGATGAAATTATTGGAGCAATTTAGTATTACTATCCTATGAACTTTTCTTTCATTGGCTTTGCTTATCCAATTGCAGAAAACTCTTTTGATGTATGGCTATGTTTTTGTAAACTAGCAGTCTACCACTTTCAAAGCAAGATACATTTTAAAAGACAAAAAACCTTTAAACTTATTTGGGTTCATGTGGCCCTTCATCGATTTCAATCCTTGAAAAGCACATGCGATGAAATGTGGATAGTATGATTTTACAAAAAAAAAAAAAAAAAAAAAGATCACCATCATATATACCAATATGGTTTAATTCTTGAATGCGACACATGACAATTGATCATTGCGTAGTTGGGCCTTTCGAGTTAATTCAAGTGGTGAGGGACTGCCATGTGATGTTTTAAGAGAAGAATAAATCAGTAATTCGATTCTTCACGGCAAAAATAAAAACAACGACAACAATTAATGACAAAACTTTATCTCACTAAGTGGGGTCGTCTATATGACTATAATGCTACTGAGCTTGATTTCCGTTAGCTCCAAGTACTCTATGTCTTTTCTTAAAGTCTCTTACCAAGTATTCATAAGTCTTCCTCTACTCATTTTGTCCTGAGCTTCTATTTCATAATCGCATTTTCTAACTGGAGCATTTATAGGTCTTCGGTTCACATGTCCAAATTACCTTAATTGATTTTTTATCATCTTATCTTCAATTGCGGCCACTATTACTTTACCTCGAATATCTTCGTTCTTAATCTTGTTATTTTTTGTGTGTTCACACATCCAACAAAACATTCTCATTTCCGTTACGCTTATTTTTTAGACATGGTGCCACATAGAGAAGTGCCAAAATAAGGATATTGTTACGCAATACCTACTTCTTGGCTTCAGATTAATACGATATTGTTACGCCATGTATTGTCTGATTGGACGTGAAGGAACATAACGACTAATATGTGAGGAATAATTTCAAATATTTTCTACTACCTTCAAGGATTAAGCCCTATATAATATAGTGCACTAGGAGCCAAATATGATAGGATTATGTGTTCCAATTGGCGCTTAACATGTTTAAGTTTAGGTAATCAAGGTTATATAAACAACAATATCTTAAAATAATAATGATTTACCTTAAGAATACAGTATCCATCGGCACTAAGCATGCTTACTCTACTAGTGATTAGTGGCTTTTACACAAATGTTTGTGACTTTGTTCCACTTGTCGACCTTACAAACTTCTGTATGATTCGTTGTCGATGAGAATTGATTTTATTCATTTTTAGTAATAATTGTTGTCCATAAAACGCATAAAGCTTACAATATATTACTGTTTTTCAAGTTATGATTTATGTTACTATTAACGCATCCAACACAAATTTAACATTGACAACCATTTAGTCTAATAAGCTTGATTCTAAAAAAAACAAACTAACCGCATCACATCACATTTGTAAGAGGTACTTTTGTAGAATCAAATATTGTCCGTTAAGTAAATATGGATAGTTTTTACTTATTTTGTATCTTTTTATTTTTTATTAAGATTGAGATTGATTATAGATTTATGTGTCCAAAACCTAATAATATCGAGGTTCAGACTGTTCAATTTCAATCATATCCCAATCAACTCATTTCACTCATTTTACTGATTTACCTCACAAAATTTTAAAAAATTAAAGGGAAATTTTGAAACAGGTCCAATTTTATAGACCATCTTTTGAAATAGGTCTAATTTTTAATGACTTTTGACTTTTGAAATAGAACAAATTTTTAGTTACTTTGGACCCATATAAAAAAATCCCAAAATTAAATGGCCAAAGACTTTTGGGATTCTTAAAGCATTTCCAAATGAGATGTTAAATTGTCAAAATCAGCAATAATAGTAACAAAAGACAGTACTAATGTTTTCCAACCGAGAAGCCAAATATGTGGCATGACATGGATTGACATCTCTTCCCTCGCTGCCAAATTTGACAGCACCTTCAGATTTTTTTAATTAATTATTAAATACTTTTTATTAATTTTTTATTGGTTTAAAGTATTATTCTTTTATTTCTTTTCATTCCCAATGTAAAGAAAATACATATAAATTATTATTTTATGTTTAAAATTTGACATATCGGTTAGAGAGCAAAAATTTAAAGAATGTCAAAGTGTCATATAAACTTTCAAATTTAAATTTTAAGTTTTAAATTTGACATCTTTTTTAAGGATGATCTTAAGCTTCAGATATTAAGATTCGGAGAATATCTCAATCCGTTTTACTGACTTGTCTCCAACTCTAGGGGATATACCAGAAGATTCTCCTAACTCCATTATTCTAATAATTAAAAGTAATTTCATCTTTTTACTCAATCATTAAGTTGACGTGCATTTCAGACACCCGCAGCAGTACGTGTAAAGGAGCTCCTACTCTTGACATCTCTCGGACACCTGTCCACAATATATTGGACATCAATTAATTAATATATTGTAAATTTGGGCATTAATTAATAATTCAGTAATTAATTGCTTTACATTTTAGTCCCTTATTTATTTATTATTATGAAACATCGAACCCGCCTTTTCCAACAAATAAAATACTGCCTTCTGTTTTTTAGAGATTTTTGATGATCTCCAACTAACATATATTTGTACTCGCGACAAGTGACCTAGTAGATAAATGTGAACAACAATTTTCTAAAAAAAAAGTGAAAGATTTTGAGTTCAATACTTTGTAAGCTATGAATTTACTTGATTGTGGTTACGGATAGAATGCAATTTCTAACTAGCCTCATCCGATTCTCCATACTATCTTCCACTCATCAATTTTTGAAAAAAAAAAAAATTAGCCTCATCTAAACTTAGAAGAATAAATAACCGTGGTTCAATACCAATTATTCCTTAAAACAAAAACACAACAAAACTAGCACGTATTTGTAATTTGCCAAAGAGAGAAGCCTAATATTTGTAGGTGGCTAGATAGTAAGGGTTTATAAATTATTTGAGTTCCTAATTTATAAATTATTTTATATACATTGGTGATACAAAAGCATAACCTCGTTTTTTTATTTTCTGACTAATCAACAATATTCATTAAAACAATTTCAACAATATAATAAAAGTATGTATACGTTATGAATCATAAAAAAATAATTTGTAAAAAGTATTTGAGAAAAGAAAACTAAAGTGAACAAATGGTTAAATTATAAATAATTCAATATTATTTCAACATCCAACTACATGGAATATTCCTAAAAAGAAAAAAAAAGCTTTATGGAATAAAGATTATCAGTACGTAAGGATAAGAGAACATATTCTTATGATATACCGTCATTGTATTTGTAACGAAAAATATTCAATTAACACCTGCGCAAGCGCTCTCTAAGAAACTAGACCTTTTTTTCTACCATGAATCGCTTCAGTTAATACAACATTGTATTTGTAACAAAAAGATTCAATCCTTATGCGCTAGATCCCGCTAAGAGGCTGATGTATATTAACTTTTGTTTCGACAAGGGATCACTTCTAACTTCTTTTTCATTTGTGTCTCTTATAAATGACCACCAGAGAGGAAGCCAAACTGACCCTTTAAGCGCAGCTAGAGTAGTATGCGCCGGAGAAAGCAGGTTGTCGAAGTTAAGCACTATTCAAGCCAGATTTTACAAAGTGTATTTAAATCCAACAAAAAAACAAAAATGGTTCAAATCTTTTACTTTGTTGGATTTTTTGTCCTAAATTTTAAAGTGTCCTTTTGACTAGAAAGTAATTTCCTGTAATTTAAGGTCCTTGATTCGTCAAACAAATGTCGACGGAGGACTACTTAGACAAAAACAAAACAGAGAAGATCGTTGTCAAAGCCACCGCCACCTCCTTCCTCCTTCCCACCACCCCCCAACAGTCGCATTCACATGCATAAAACCCCGCTTCCATTTCTCACTCTCCTCCACCGTCCACAGCTCGCTTTCTCTCTTTCTCTCTCTCACTAAATTCGCAATTGGAATCAGCTGCCGAACCAGCGGACGGTGAAAAGCTCAGATTTGGTGATTAATGGCGGGGAACGATTGGATAAACAGTTACCTGGAGGCCATTCTGGACGTGGGACCGGGACTCGTCGACGATGCCAAGTCGTCGTTGTTGCTAAGGGAGAGAGGACACTTCAGTCCCACCCGATACTTCGTCGAGGAGGTCATCACCGGCTTCGATGAGACCGATCTCCATCGCTCCTGGGTTCGCGTAAGTCTCACTCTTTCTCTCTCTCTCCCCTCCCTTTTTTTCTCTAAGTTGTGTTTCTGCTCTGTTTTCTGTTTGATTGATGATGAAGTGTGGGAATCAATGGCAGGCTTCGGCGACGAGGAGTCCCCAGGAGAGGAACACCAGATTGGAGAATTTGTGCTGGCGGATTTGGAACTTGGCTCGCCAGAAGAAGCAGGTTTTTCTTTTAGCTTACTTTTCGGGTTGTAAATTTTCGATATAGATTGTTCTTTGTGAGATTTGTGCCTCTTTGATTCGTGTGCTGATAACTTGGAAGCTAAGATTGCTGGATTTGTTTCTGCATTATATAATAATAATAATAATAATAATAATAACAACAATAGTTTTTCGGGGTGTCTGTTAAATCGAATGTTTTATGTAAAGTTTGCTCCTTTTAATTTGTAATTGTTACGGAGTACTAATTGTTTGTAGGGTCTTTTCGATTTTTGATTTTGGAGGATGCTGATTCATGAATACGCATTAATTAACAAATGAGACGGTTATTTCAGGTGAAATTGAAAGAAAGAGAAGAGAAAGCTTACGACGATTTTGCTTAAATGTGATCTTTTTCTTCTCACTGTCTATTCTTCTGCAGCTTGAGGGCGAAGAATCTCAACGGAAGGCTAAACGTCGTCTTGAACGCGAAAGAGGTCGCAGAGAAGCTACTGCTGATATGTCTGAAGACTTGTCTGAGGGAGAGAAGGGAGATACGGTGAGTGACATGTCAGCTCACGGTGATAGTCACAGAGGAAGACTGCCTAGAATTAACTCTGTTGACGCGATGGAGACATGGATTAGCCAGCAGAAGGGGAAAAAGCTATATATTGTACTAATAAGGCATGAACTGAACTTTAATGTTTTAAGTTTTGTATGTAATCATGGCTATGAATTATTGGTCAGTGTTGCATGGCATCTCAAATGATAATATTAGATATGCTTTCAGTATTTAATGGAAGCATGGAAGTGATAGTTTAACTTGCTGCTACAGAGAACTTAGTCTGATGGTCACTAACCGCCCATCTATCTCTCTCAATTTTGAGTTGTACGGAATATGATATCAGGGTCTGCATGAATTTTTGTGTTTTCTTAATAATGTTTCTGAAGACAAGTATTCATGCAGCCTTCATGGTCTCATACGAGGTGAACAAATGGAGCTTGGTCGTGACTCCGATACTGGTGGTCAGGTAATATTTTGTTGTTAATGTGGTTTCATTCCCAGTCTCTGATTGCACCGCACATTTATTTGATATGGTAATTCATTCTGTGGTAGCTTATATAGCTACCTGTATAATACTGGGTTTATTTTCATTCAGGTTAAGTATGTAGTAGAACTTGCACGGGCATTGGGCACCACGCCAGGAGTGTACAGAGTTGATCTGCTAACAAGACAAGTGTCATCGCCGGATGTAGACTGGAGTTATGGTGAGCCGACAGAGATGCTGACTCCAATAAATGCAGAAGGTTTTGAAGAAGAGATGGGGGAGAGCAGTGGTTCTTATATCATTCGTATACCATTTGGTCCCAAAGATAAATACATTCCCAAAGAAGAACTCTGGCCACACATCCCTGAATTTGTTGATGGTGCATTGAACCACATAATGCAAATGTCCAAAGTTTTGGGTGAACAAATTGGTGGCGGGAAGCCAGTCTGGCCTGTTGCCATCCATGGGCATTATGCAGATGCTGGTGACTCTGCTGCCCTTCTATCTGGGGCTTTAAATGTACCGATGCTTTTTACTGGCCACTCACTCGGCCGAGATAAGTTGGAGCAACTTTTAAAGCAAGGCCGACTTTCAAGGGATGAGATAAACAAAACATATAAAATAATGCGTCGGATAGAGGCAGAGGAGTTAGCCCTTGATGCCTCCGAAATAGTTATTACCAGCACTAGACAGGAGATAGAAGAGCAATGGCGGTTGTATAATGGTTTTGATCCAATACTGGAGCGTAAACTACGAGCTAGGTTGAGGCGTAATGTGAGCTGTTATGGAAGGTTCATGCCCCGCATGGTGGTAAGTACTGAGATCTTTCATATTCTTGTTGAATGCTTTTCCATAACTCTAGGGGAGGACTTGAAAAATGGCCCAATTTGAGTAGGGTATGCTTCCGAGTGTGTTTTTTTGTTGCTACCCTGATCAGCACTGTTTAAAGGGTACTCATGGCTTGCTCGTTTTATAAACATATCTTACGAATTTGTAGCTCTGTGCAGGTAATTCCTCCTGGAATGGAGTTCCATCATATTGTTCCGCATGATGGTGATATGGATGCTGAAACAGAAGCAAATGAAGACCATCCAACTTCTCCAGACCCACCTATTTGGTCTGAGGTGCTAGTTATTCGTAATTCATTTTTACTCTGATTTCTTTCAGAGTATAGCTGATGAGTCAGTTTCAATACGTCCTGCTTTGTAACTTACAAGCCTTGTGTTTTCATGAATTATGCATTGACTGGTGCCAACCGAATTATTTCATGATGCAGATAATGCGTTTCTTTACCAATCCTCGCAAGCCAATGATTCTTGCCCTTGCTAGACCAGATCCGAAAAAGAACATTACAACTTTGGTCAAAGCATTTGGAGAATGTCGTCCACTAAGAGAGCTTGCCAACCTTGTATGTTAAAATCCTTAATGCACTTTCTTGCTGCTGATACCTTTGTGTTCTATCTGATCTGCTGATTGGCTTTGTTGCTGAGCCAATGTCATTTGTTTAACCTTTTTCTTTTCCTCTGTACTCTGCAGACACTCATTATGGGTAACCGTGATGGAATTGATGAAATGTCAAGCACAAGTGCTTCTCTTCTTCTCTCAGTGCTCAAGCTGATTGACAACTATGATTTGTATGGGCAAGTCGCATACCCCAAACACCACAAACAATCTGATGTTCCCGATATATATCGTCTAGCAGCAAAGACAAAGGTGCCTATCGTTCAACATTGTATACCTGCAGTGCTCTTGTAAAATTCTTTTTATTTTGTAGCTACTAAAAATTTACCATTACTCTCATTTTATTGTAGCGTTTAGTTTAATATCATTAGCTACTATTTCATACCCAAAAACAAGAATCAACTCTCAGTCTACTCTTTTCCTGCTAATGCTTTTTGCAGGGTGTTTTCATTAATCCAGCTTTCATTGAGCCCTTTGGACTCACTTTAATTGAGGTGCAAGTCTAAAACTTATCAGGAGTTTTGTGTGCTATTCCACTATTTATAATTTCTTGTTCTTTTTTCACAAACGAGTTTAACTTTTGCGCTTTCATTGTACAGGCAGCTGCTCATGGTTTACCTATTGTTGCCACAAAAAATGGAGGCCCTGTTGATATACATCAGGTATGCCTGCTCATTGGTCGTAAAGAATTAATAAAAGTTTCTATATTATTGTACATAGAATTGTTGTCGGAATTCCAAAACTGATTGGAGTTATTTCTGCAGGTGCTTGACAATGGTCTTCTTATTGATCCTCATGATCAGCAGTCTATTGCCGATGCTCTCCTGAAGCTTGTTGCGGATAAGCAGCTTTGGGCAAGATGTCGGCAGAATGGGTTGAAGAACATTCACCTATTTTCGTGGCCTGAACACTGCAAAACTTATCTATCCCGAATAGCCAGTTGCAAACAGAGGCAACCACAGTGGCAGAGAAGTGAGGATGGAGGAGACACTTCAGAATCAGAATCCGCAAGTGATTCCTTGAGAGATATACACGATTTATCTTTGAACTTGAAGTTTTCAATGGATGGAGAAAAGAGCGGAACTAGTGTAAATGATAGTTTAGATTCTGAAGGAAATACTGCTGACAGAAGGAGTAAAATAGAGAGTGCTGTTTTGGCATGGTCAAAGGGTATTTCGAGGGACACGCGGAGGGCTGGGTTCTCAGAGAAAGCAGACCATAACAATGCTGGAAAGTTCCCAGTTTTGAGGAGGAGGAAACATCTTATTGTCATTTCTGTGGATTGTGAAACCGTTACAGAACTTAATGAAATTACAAAAAATATTTTTGAGGCTACGGGAAAGGAAAAGGCTGAAGGCTCTGTAGGATTCATATTGTCAACATCCTTGACCATAATCGAGATACGTTCATTTCTGGTTTTCGGGGGCTTGAGCCCTAAAGATTTTGATGCATATATTTGTAACAGTGGCAGTGACCTCTACTATCCATCTATTAATTCTGAGGATCGCCCCTTCGTGGTCGACTTTTATTACCATTCACACATTGAATACCGTTGGGGTGGAGAAGGATTGAGGAAGACATTGGTACGCTGGGCAACTTCAGTTAATGATAAGAAGACTGGGAGTGAGGCAATTGTTTCTGCAGCTGATCAACTTTCAACTGACTATTGTTATGCTTTTAAAGTGCAGGCACCAGGAAGGGTAAGTGTTTGTCAATTTTGATTCTGGATCAGTTTGGTATGAATTCTTAAATTAACAAGAAAATCATTGGTACGTTGATACGCTGGGCAACTTCAATTAATTATAAAAGTTACCCTTGAATTTTTATTGAAGCATGTAATATGTTATAGTGTATTACATTGGATGTACATCATCGGAATTCTTTTATTTTATCTTTGCAGTTACCCCCGGTAAAGGAGCTTCGGAAGGTGCTGAGGATTCAGGCTTTACGATGCCATGTAATTTACTGCCAAAACGGGACCAGAGTGAACGTAATTCCAGTATTGGCATCTCGTTCTCAAGCCCTCAGGTACAGTATTTATGCATTACTTATCTACACTATTGACTTAATTTATAGTGAATTTTCGCTTTAAGGTCATTGGACCAGAATGAACTCATCACGTCCATGGTAATAGTCTAGTAGAATCTAATTACAGATACCACTCAAAAGTAATAAGGTGAATGCTAATGTCCTGTTGTCGACAAATCCAAACGATCGTTGGTTTAGTAAAATTGTAAAACTGCTTTGGAATTGCTTTGAATATTTGATCACCGAAACAAGCATTTGCTTCAGGTATTTATATCTCCGATGGGGGGTAGACTTATCGAAAGTGGTGGTTCTCACTGGAGAGTGCGGCGACACGGACTATGAAGGATTGCTCGGTGGACTGCACCAAAGTGTAGTACTGAAGGGAGTTGGCAGGAATGCAATCAGTCAACTCCACAATAACCGAAACTACCCTCTAACCGATGTCCTGGCACTCGACACCTCCAACATAGTTCAGACCAGTGAAGGTTGCAGGAGCGACGATATCCGTGCTTCCTTGGAGAAACTAGGAGTTCTCAAGAACTAGAAGTGTGCATTATTTGTAAAGCCTTCCCCATGAGCAGTTTTTCTCTATATCTTGAACCTTTTGCCGCCCCCTCCCCGAAAATTCGTTTGCCGGGGGATTCGACATAAAGCTCAATACTTGTATTTTCATCAAATTTAAACCTTTTGTTACTTTCTGGCTATATTTTTAGTTAAGAAATAAAAATAGTCAACATATGTGCAGATTTGGAGGAGGACGATCTCTCTCTGCGATTTCATATGTTCATCCATAGCTTGCCTTTACTTAGCTGTTGATGTCATGACTCAAAACCAGGTGAGCAATTTTCATGGACATGTACACCGTCACCAGTGGCGTGCTGTCACATATAACATTACTGCCCTTCATGCACGAGCCCATTTGCATACAAAAAACATTTTTGGAATCACGGCATGTTACGCGTTATTTACACGTTTTAAATGTATTTATATGCATGAATTGCTTCCATAATTTTTTTTTTTTTTTATGACAAAAAGAAAGTCAAATATTTGAACTAAATGAATAATATTAGACCATACTAGAAGAAACTCTATAGTGTAGATAACATTGTTTGTTTAAAAAAATATAATCATTTGACAACTAATTGAATCACATTATTATGCGCGTGCGAAAAAACTTTTTTTATAACTGGCACTACGTGCCTCTTAAGTGTTTAAAAATAGAGAAATAATATTTAATAAACAACCGTGTGCAAAAGATATTTTTTGAATCAGTGCACTACACGTGACTTACACATTTTAAATGTATTTATATGCGTGAATTGCTTCAATATTTTTTTATTTCATTATTTTCTTTTTTATCACTAGCGCTATGAGCCTCTTAAGATGTTTTGAACACAACATTCTTAATTTTTCTTATTTTTTATTATATTTTCCTTTCCCCTTCACTTGGGCACTTGCACCATCAACTATCACTCATTCTTTCCTTTTTTTTATTCTTTTCTTTCTTCCCACTTATACTTATATTTATATTATATTATATTATATTTCATTTTTTGAACTTTTTTGTTTGAGGGATATTTTTATCCTAAAATTTTTGGTGAAACCGGTGACTCTAAAAGGGCCTCCTGGCTTTATATATAAGGTTAGTGTTGACATGAGATGTCGCAATTTTAGTGTTTTCGTATCATTGAATCCTCTCTCCAAAAGTAGATTATGAAAGATGTGGATTTGCAATATTTGTTTGTGGAGAAGATTTACATGGACCAAGGTCTTGTTCATCGTCTTGTGGCGTTCAATCCATTAATATGCATTGTTATGTGGAAAAATTGCATTATTGGATCAGAATGTCAAAATCATTTTGAACCTGTTTCGTGGTGTCCCGGCAAATCTGTATCGTGGTGTCCCAGTAAATCCTTTTTGTGTAAATTGCTCTCATGTTAATGTTTGCGAAAGTGTGGGTCTCCTCCTCAAGTACACTTGTAGACGTGCCATTGTTAAACTTCCATGGAAGAGCATGTGTCCGTAGGGTCACAATGTATTTATCGAAATGAATTCAGATCTTATCCGGATCTTGCAGTTCGGAATCGATAAATCGAGAAATTTAGATAATTGAAAAGAGGGAGAGAGAGATTTGAACTTTTGATTTGTGTGAGGTATGTCAATGTGATGTACTAATGGAATTGTAAGATTGAGAATGAGTTGTCCGGCTTTTTTGACCCATCGACTCCGGATTATGAGATCCGAAGAAGATATTGATTTTATGGAACGTAATGTCTAACGTACAGCTTCTTCCCGGTCGAGATTGAATATATTAGATTTCTCCCCAACTAGTTTGAACAAAAAACATTACTAAAGGAAAACCAAATTATGTTGTATGGGAAGTTGTTGACCAACATTATCTCATGGCTTTTTTATTTCTTCGTAATTATGATGAAATATTTGAAATATTGACGTGCATCTATACTTAATAAATCGAAATCAATTTATCGTCTTTGATCTTGACCAAAAACCAAATGAAAAGTATGCTTGCAAGTTAATAGTTAGGTTGGTAAGAAGGGGCAGTATTGATGGCGTGTAGGATAACGGGTAGGAATAAGATAAAAAGTTCGAGGTTGGAAACTCTTTAGGGTTTGTCCCTTAGTTTGTAAAATGAAAACAACAAATAGAATTTACATTTTTATGATTTGAGAATGCATTTAACAATTTAGTTTGAGAATCAAAACGTTTAAAATACATTTGGAACAAAATGTCAAAGATGGTGGTGGTGGCATTAGTGACGGTAATGGTGACAAACGTGAATTTTTTTTTAATCAAATTGTAACTTGTTTTATAATATACCTTTTATTTTTTTATAATTTGAAAACTATTTTTGAAAAGCAGCGGAAACATCTAAAGAACTTATGCTGAATATTGTTTCCTGCGCTTCTCGATTTCATGTATATTTTCACATATCAGTCTACCGAACGTATTTTTCATCCATTTTTTTATTTAAAAAACGAAAAATTGTTTTTCAAAGGGTTAATGAACATACCCTTATTTTTCACTAAAAATAAGTAGTTAGGTTTGTATATAAGATGAAATTAATTACCATGCATCGGAACTCATCCTTGACCATCCACAATCAGGAAGCAACGAGGTAAATTTTGTCATACAAATGGGTGACACCATTGCATCGATCGACGAGCCGTAAGATATATTATAGGATAAATTTTTTATTGTGATATGAACATGAGTAATACACCACTTGTTTTTATATAAGTGATGAGAAATTTTTTTTTTAAATTATTAACTTTTGAACACATATATCACACCCTTTGTATAATGACATATGTTGTATCATCCCGTGTATCGGTCACATTGAAAAATCTCTCATATTATACATGTATTATGTATACATGTTAATTTTTTTAATTAATATACTGATTAGGAATGTGAAATTGAGAATTAAACAAATTAAAAGTGGGTTTTCATGTCAATTGGTTGATCAGTTTTGTTTTGGTGTGAACGTAATGAAAATATGGTTAACCAATTAATATCCATTCTTCCTATAAAAACCAGGCAAAGACGTCATGCATTCTCGAATAATTTAGGTATGGATTACTGAACCAACCAACCAACCATGCTTACATTGCCAAGCTAGCTGCTCGCCCCACGCCACCATCCATGCAAACAATTCTTCCATATATATACTCGAAATACGATCACTTAGTGTTATTATTCGACTTAAATTATAAGCGTAAATTATCTTATTCACGTTTATTATAACACATAAAATAATATATCTTGTGTTTTCCGTACTTGCAAAAATGTCTTTGTCAATCCATGCATTTCATATTTTTTAGTATCGTGTAATCCAAACATTAAAAATAAAATTTTATAAGTTGGCGGTTGGTTGGTGCAGTTGTGCAACCTCCAACTGTACTAAATAGGCAGCCCCGTTATCCCATCCAATCCTCCGGTTCTTCAAAACCATAAGCCCGTCCGTCTCCATATAAATTTTGTAACCCTACAAATCCAAATTCGTCTCTGTCTCTGTCTCTCTCTCTGAAGCGAAAGCCCTCCTCCCTCCACAACCTCCTTGTGATTATTTTGTCCGGCGACAATGAGTCCCAAGGAAGGAGGAGCTCTTGCCAGGAAGAGATATTCATCAAAACAAACAACTCCTGCTTCTGCGAAACAAGTAGAAGAAGAAATTAAGAATCAACAAACCCTAATCCGTAACATTTCTTCTGCAGACAATATTAAGAACAAGAGGAGAAGGAAGAAGAAGAAGAAGCAAAACAAGGAAAATCCGAAGCGGTACGGGTTGATGTCGTATTGGGAGTTGCCGGGGTACATGAAGGACAATGAGTTCATACTCAATTACTACCGGGCCGATTGGTCTCTCCCGGAAGCTTTGTTTAGCGTTTTCCGGTGGCATAACGAAACCCTCAACGTTTGGACGTATGTTTTTTTAATTATGTTATGATCAATTTTCAATCCAAATTTGTTTATTTTTCTTGGTTAATTTCTTCATTAATTATTCGAATTTCAATGTTATTTGTTGAATTTAGATTTTAGTTAAAGGGTTGAGAACCCTCTTGATATGCTTGCTGATGTCTTGATTGAGGAGAATTCTCATCGCAACCTTAGTTGATGTTGATGTAACTTTAATATTTTCTGAGTATAGCTCACTATAGTTAAGTTGTTTTGTGCTAGACACTCTTTTTCTTTTAACCGGATTGAAATCTCCGGCAAGATTTTTTATTGAAGCACTTTTATGCACACTATCCTCTTGCTTTGTACGTATTCTTATTTTTAATGAATATCGTACTTCTGTCATTAAAAAAAAAAAAGATTTTAGTTGAAGGGTTTTCTTGTATAATTCCTTTAGAATTTAATGGTTTCAATAATTTTTGTATTTTCTCTGAAATTTTTTTATTTTTTATTTTTAAATTAATTACAGGCATTTGATCGGGTTTGTTCTGTTTCTGGGTTTGACTATGGCGAATTTGTTGGAAGTGCCTCAGGTAGCGGATCTCCTTGGCTTTTTTGCCAGGTTGGTTGGGGATTTTCTTTCTTTTACTCTTTCTAATTCTGTTTTTGGCAACTTTGAATTTTTTCTATTTGTATCTGATATCACTAATTTTGAAATTAGAATCGCGAAAGGATAATGACTGATCATAAAATTAGAAACTGAGCAACATTAATTCGAATTTTATGTCTTTTTGTGAATAAATTTATTTTTATATTAGCAATGGTCGGAAAATAAGGAATTGAACCTAGAATCTCTGACTCTGAGCATGGGATAAATGCTCTTGGATAAAATTATTAGAAAACCACTCTTTTTGTTAAAAATAATTTACTAGCTTTATTTTTAATAAATAATTGCAACCATACATATAAATAATTATTCCATACATTTTAGTCTTAAGACTTCAAAAACCCTATGATTTTAGAGTACATCCCATCAATGCATAATTTAAATTGCTAAATCTATAATTGTTGGGTCTGCTCTTAAAATTTTCAGAGAATTTAACAGCTGAAGAATCTAAATTGTTTAAGTCAGAGATAATGTATACTATACATTGCTGTATTTTATATAGTATAAGCGTTTTGGCCAATCACATTTGTGATGTATAGTATTGTATAAAATTTTAAGTGATAATTAAGTACTTGAGCATCTAGGAAACTAAACTCTTAATTAGAGCTTGTTTTGTAAGTGATTTTAAAATAGCTGAAAGCGCTTCTAGTAGAAAAGTTTTTGAAATCAAATCATTAGTGAAAATGCAAGTGAATTCTAAAAAG